TTTAAATTACTTAGATAGTTCATATTATTATAACTATTGGTGTTATTATTATTATTGTTATTTTGGTGCTGTAGTGAGTTGCTGTTCAGCTATGGTGACTACTACCTAACAAGGCGTCACTTCTCAACTTTGAGCAATGGCGAGTTGGATATAGACTTCTTGAATATTTGGTCTTTGCGCCTAACTTTGAAGAACACAGAACGTGCTGTTGGGATACCAAAACGCGTATTCTTCACCACACTGCCACATGTAAGAGTTATTTTTGACATGCAGATGCGCATTTTTAAAAATCTAGTACTCTAAGCCTTTTGAATACTCATTTTTTGCATTTCTGTGTATTCAAAAACAGCTCCAGCTTGATCCATCTGATGATTGGATGAAAAGTCTCCCAGCTGAGAAAAGGATGGAAAATTTCAATGATAGATTGAATTATGAAATATCAAGTTTTGGAAACCTGGAAATCAGTGATGCAGACCTTGTAAGATCTATTACACACACTTAATTTAATAATTTAAGATTTTATTATTGATATATATGCATGAAGCTTGGAATATACAAAGTTTAATAAGATCCTTTATAAAGTTCTGAATTTGTGGATATATAGTCTTAAAATTGTGGATATATAGTTATGTGATTATGGATATGTAGTACTCTGTTAATATATGAATGTATTACTCTGTGGACAGACTGTTAAGAATTCTGGATATATGGTAATGTAGTTTTTGGATGTATAGTTATTAATTTGTGGATTTATATGCTTGAAGCTTGGAATATACTCGGCTTATTAGGATCTTTATAAATTTCTGAATTTTGTGGATATATAGTTTTAAGATTGTGGATATATAGTTTTATAATTATGGATATATAGTACTCTGTCAAATATGAATGTATACCCATGCAGTTAACAGTACCTGGGTATGCAGTTGTTTCAAATAATAACCTTTTGTTTTGGAATTAGATATTTTTCCCAGTGCATCGCCATGCACACTACTTTGTTGTGTGCATAAATGTCAAGGAATCCAAGGTTCAGGTGATAGACAACAAGGAATTGCCTGCTGGTGTTTCAGAGCTTGATAAATATGGGGACTGTCCATACAAACTGGTAGCTTATATTATATTAAAAAATCTCCTTATTGTCACCTATATATTGAATTTAAAACATTATGAACATTGAGCTAATTTTTTACCAGATTGAAGCATTCAAGGCGTACCTGGCAGCAGGACAATCCACCTTGACTCTCAAACTGAACAGCATGCCAGTAGAGTTCCTTGCCATGCACTGGAAAAATGCAGAGAATGTCACCGACTGTGGCATATATGTAATGCGGCATATGGAGACTTACATGGGTGGAGCTTTCGAGAACTGGGATCCTGGGTTCAAGAAACATATGCGCACGAATGTAAGAGTAACATAAATATATTACATTCCAACTACATCAGAAAGTGATGAAAAAATTACAATGAACTAGTTATTTATTTTTCTTATTTTACAGGCTAGCTTCATTTTTGAGTTGAGGGCAAAGTATGCTGCTTGTATCATCACGTCAAAGCTGAACAGCGTCAAAGGCGAGGTCATGAAAGCTGCAAAGATTGAAGACAAGAAGAAGTAAAACTGGAAAGATCAATGAATGTTTTTGTGGATGAATATTTTAATATTTTCTGTTCTTATGGTCGTTTTGTAACAACTCTATCACAATTTTTGAAATTCGATCTATGAAATTCACTGAATATATAGTTCTCATATTATGGACATGTAGGTTTAAGATTGTGGATGTATGGATATAAAATTATGAACATCTTAAATAAGTATAAACATACCGTTCAAATATTCATATATTCATATTTCAAGAATTATGGACATATAGGTTTAAGATTGTGGACATATTGATATAAAGTTATGAATATTCGTTCAACTGTGAACTTACATTTTACATAAATGTAAACATCAAGTTCACCAGTTTACATATTGATATATAGCTTTAATATTGTGGATATAATGATATAACATTATGAACACTTTTACTAATTTGACACACAATTCCAATATTTTGTGGTCATATAGTTCTCAGAATTATGGACATATAGGTTTAAGATTGTGGACATATTGATATAAAGTTATGAATATTCGTTCAACTGTGAACTTACATTTTACATAAGTGTAAACATCAAGTTCACCAGTTTACATATTGATATATAGCTTTAATATTGTGGATATAATGATATAACATTATGAACACTTTTACTAATTTGACACACAATTCCAATATTTTGTGGTCATATAGTTCTCAGAATTATGGACATATAGGTTTAAGATTGTGGACATATTGATATAAAGTTATGAATATTCGTTCAACTGTGAACTTACATTTTACATAAGTGTAAACATCAAGTTCACCAGTTTACATATTGATATATAGCTTTAATATTGTGGATATAATGATATAACATTATGAACACTTTTACTAATTTGACACACAATTCCAATATTTTGTGGTCATATAGTTCTCAGAATTATGGACATATAGGTTTAAGATTGTGGACATATTGATATAAAGTTATGAATATTCGTTCAACTGTGAACTTACATTTTACATAAGTGTAAACATCAAGTTCACCAGTTTACATATTGATATATAGCTTTAATATTGTGGATATAATGATATAACATTATGAACACTTTTACTAATTTGACACACAATTCCAATATTTTGTGGTCATATAGTTCTCAGAATATGTATGTATAGCTCTAATATTATGGATATATAGCTTTAGTATTATGGATATGTAGCTTTAATATTATGGATATATAGCTTCAAACCTGCAAATCAACAAGTACTAAAATTTTGAATACACAGATCAAACAACTTGTAAATTGATATCCTCAAAACAGCTAGCTACCAACTGGTATTAACCCCACTCTCAATCTACAACTGCATTATCATCTACATCATTACTATACTGACAAAACTCCGAACTCCCAGAACTTGGATGTACAAGGTACCCATCCCCGGCAATCTCAGATAGACTTTCCAAAACCAACGACTGAACAGCACCCTTTGTACTCGAAGCAACTTTATTTGCAGCACTCCTCCTCCCCCTTGCAGCACTGTACTTCTTTTCAATAACACTACTCCTCCTTACGTTACGCTCACCTTTTGATCTCCGGTTTGAAGGATTTTGAATAACACCACTTGAAGATGAAACACCGCACTCTTCAATATGCACATAGCCAATCTCAGCTTCAACCTTTTTCTTTGCTTCCTCAACTGCTTCATCACAGAACTGCCTAGTTACACTGTTATCTTGACTAGATGAAATCAGTCTTTGAAACTTTCTGCAAATCTCCACAACCCAAATTGAAGGAGGGACACCAGCTCTACAAAACATTGAACCAGTATTCACATCCCTACCATCAGCAACCTTTTTAGTCCACCTTTTCATGATATATTTGTTAGGAATACTTGAAACACAGTGTATATGAAGAATGCGTAAACAATGGCAGCATAAAATTCCTAACTCCGAAATCAACTTGCAACTACACGAAATGTCTAAGGTTGACAACTTAAAACTGACTTCATGCCTTATAATATCTATATCTGGACGCCATACGTGATACTTGAACTGACAACCTTCATTCAACACCATTTCTTGATGACAGGCATTGCCTTTCATGAATTGTTCCTCAAACAAAAAATATATCTCAATCGTATATACCTCTCTAGCGTGTAACAGAAGTTTCACGTGCTCCATCATCATGTTGGGTACCCCTTGAGTACAACGAAAGTCTTCACCATTCTCTTTGCTCCTCCATTCAGAAGTTACACTAACAAACGATGAATAAAAATCACATAGACCTGCAGTCTTGGACAGCCTTCTTGAAATCGAATGGTTAGTAGTTTCACTCCTTTGCGATGATAAAATGCCCCCTGAAAAATAGTCCTTATTGAATGCTGGACACCACTTCTCCCTACAGTCATACAACTTTTGTATCCAACTATTCTTGTGGCACTTGTAGTCAGTCACCAACCTGAAATGATAAGACATATGTTCAGAACTCTAATGCTATATATCCACAGTTCCAATATAATAAAACCACAAATTGAATGCATATAATACAAACAGAAAGCTCACTGCTTCACTACTACATGTTCAGACAACTAATACTATATATCCATAATTGTAATATTATATATCCACAATTCCAATACTATAAATCCATAAATTGCATGCATATAATTTAGAGACAAACAGGAAGCTCACTGCTTCACTAATACATGTTCAGACAACTAATACTATATGTCCATAATTCTAACACTGTATATTCACAATCCCAAAACTATAAATCCATAAATTAAATGCATGTAACTCAGGAACAATCAAGAAGTTCCATTCTATACTACAACATGTTCACATAATTCTAATACTATATATTCATAATTCTAATACTATATGACCATAATTCTAATACTAAACATCCATAATTCAATTACTGGAATCGAAAAAAGGAAAAAAAAAAAAAGTAGTGGACATACCTTGTCCAATAAAATTCAAACTCAGCTTCAGTCTCTGTGTATTTCAACACACAGTTAAACATATCTAAGAAATCCTTGTTATTCCTTAACGCCTTGATATGCTTCTTCGAATTCTCGCCAATATGCCATATGCAAAGACGGTGACGTGATGTTGGAAACACCTGACAAATAGCAGCAGCCATGGATGCACATTGATCTGTCATGATAGTCTGTAGACATTTCCGATTCATAGACCTTAAAAATGCTCTAAACAGCCACACAAATGATTCTATCCTCTCATTCATCAGAAAACCACATCCAAACATTACATTCATGCAATGGTGGTTCATCCCTACAAAAGGGCCACAAATCATATCATATTTATTAGTGCGATAAGTTGTATCGTGCACTAATAAATCCCCAAACAACTCATAGTCTTGTCTCATCCGACCATCCCTCCAAAAAAAACTGCATAGTCTTGAATCACAATCAACTTCAAAATCAAAGAAAAAATCAGACTCAGTTGACTGCCTCTTCCTAAATATTTCAATTAATGAGTTCGAATCGGTTCCATCCAAACACTTTGATGTATCAGAAGCAATTGAATTATAAGCATCTCGATTAGTGAAGCCAACTAATGGAGACCCCCCTGCTTGATGTTTCAAGAACCTAATACCATCTGCCATTGCAACACCACTCTTCTTCAAATCTTTTAAATATAACAGTTGATTATCACCCACATTTCTATGTGAACGCAGAAGATGACTCTTGTCTACAGCACATAACTCGTGATTGTGCACTTTTACATGTTTTGTAACCGTCCACAACCCATCCTCACCGACGTCAAACTGAACACATGCATCACACCCTGACCTTGTGTCAATTTTTGAATATGCCCTAACACCAGCATTTGCCTTAACCTTAAAACCAGCTTTAGAACACATAAACATCTTCATTTGGACTGTTTTGCTATATACCTTGCACCGTTGATTACCCTTCCTCACACTAAAACCAACTCTATATGCATAATTGTTATACAACTCATACGCTTCAACCCCGTTACTTACAACAACACCAACCAAATCTTCATCAACTGCAAATGCAATATATAACCTCAAGTATACTAAATAATACACGTTCCATTGAAAATATAATTCCTATGTAGAGGGGGTGCGGGGAATGCCGAATAAATCCAGCCATGCTCTACAAAAGGAATAACATTTTCCATGGAAAAAGAATGAACATATAACAATGCTGAACACTGTGAATTATGATCATATAAAACTACATATAGACCTGGATTAGAAGAAGAACCATCAATGTCTAACTCTATTGGATCTGAACTTGGTGAATCAACAACAACATCATCACTGACTGCATAGTGTTAAAAGCCAGAACAGAGTATCAGTTTAGAAATTTGTGGATGTATGGTATTATAATTCTGGATGTATAGTGATAGAATTCTGGATATAAAGCTCACAGTTTCTGGACATAAAAGTTCAATAATTATGGATATACAATCCAGAACAGAGTATCCATTCACAAAATCCTTGATATAAACTACTATAATTCTGGATATATAGCTCACAACTTCTGGTTTTATAGTTCAAAGATTATGGATATATATTTCGTTCATTCAGAAAACCATAAACACATAAACACCAAGAGTTACGAATGATCTCAGACTAGAATCACATACACAATAAACATCACACTAAATATAAACACCTACACAATATATCACACTGCAAAAATCGCAAACGACCACAAATCCATAAAAATCAAACTGCAAAATAACCTGGAACCGTATGCAATTCATCGCCTGCTTCATCTCTCTGATCTAATGCCTCGTCTCTCTGGTCTACTGCATCATCCATCATGAGATCCATACAATAAATCAGGAAAACGACTGCGATCGCTATTGCGATTGCGATTTTACGTATACTGCAATCAAAACGCCAAACTACCAAAAAATCGCAAAACTACCAAATATGATATGAATAACGCCGCTAACGGCCATCCAATTTTTTTTTTTTTTTGATTTTGTGCGCGCCGTGTCGTTTTTTTAGTAAAACGGCGCCGTTTTGCAACCGTATGCACCTTGCTAGGTGCATTCGGTTGCACGGCATAATTTGCGAGTCTCATCCGGGTCCCTTGTCTTAGGCTACCAGGCCTTCTTGCGCCCCAAGCTTTGGCTCTCAGGCTCCTAGTCCTCATTCTTGGACCATTTTCAAGATCTCCTATCACAAAAACAAGAAGGAAAAAATGACATATTTAGCTAACAAACCCAATTTTTTTTAAGTATCAAACTACAAAGACCAGAATTTTTTACTATTTGACTTAAAAGAGTTAATTTCATTTTTGGTCATAGATTTATAGGTGGCAGTCCACTTTTAGTCCTTTTTTATCAGAACATCCCATTTTGGTCCTAGTATTATTGTGACATGACCAATTTTGATCATCTATCAACAAAATCCTTGAAATTTCGTTAAATAGAAAGCCATTTGATCTTTTTTTATAAAAAGCTCGTTGACCCGTTATATTTTTTAAAAAAGATTCGTAATTGAAGAGTAAAATGTCCTTGTATTTAATAAAATTTCAGTGATTTTTTTGATAGAGGACCAAAATTGGTCATGACACAATAATAGTAGGACCCAAAGAGGATGTTCTAATAAAAAATGACTAAAAGTGGACTGCCACTTATAAATCTAGGACCAAAAATGGAATTAACTCGACTTAAAATATATATGATTTATATTTGATTAATAAGAAGATTTCTTTTTTAAACATGAGGTGAAGTCGGCCAATTCACAGTATCTAATAAATAAAAATTGGTATAATATTTGCATTGACGTATTTTTATTCAAAACTAACTTAGATTAGGAAATGTTGTTGGTATGTTATTTTGTTAGTTTCCTAATCTTGGAAGGTAAAGAGTATTGCCAAAATCAAGGAGATTCAACAAGTATGGAAAACAAAGAAGATTGGTGATTTAAATCCAAGAAGATCATGAAGGTTTCCTATTCACTCTTGAAGGAGAATATCTTAATATGTCTCTTATTATGACCTTCATTATATTGGAAAGGAAAGAAAACCTGTAAAGTTTTTCTTTCACGCAAGTTTAAATATTGTGTGATATTTTAGGCATATATGTCTCTCTCTATATAGATCTGATTGAGTTGGTTAAGATTTCATTGGAAAGCTAAGGTAACTCACATGACTACATCTTTCTAGAAGAAACCATTCTCAGATTTGAATGGTATAGTGCTTGAAAATTCTGTTGAAGTCAGACTAGAGAATCTACCAAGTTTCCATCTATGTTTTCTTTTACACTTGCGAAGTTTCTTATACAAGAAAATAGTTCATTGGTGTTTAAATGAATACTATATATTCCTAGAGGTGCTTGAGAATGATGGGGGATCAATTCTATCATTTTGACTGAGGATTAAACCGTAGGTCACTCAAGAGATTGTTTTACGTACTACAACGGAGACTACTGTCTGACCTTGAGGAAATTGGTTACTATCATTTGCAATCGGGAGTTCACCTCTGCAACGGGAGTTGCATCTGAAGGCAAGAGGGATCTGGCAGCACAAGAGAATCGTGTTCTCAATTCTAAGGGCATTACATAAAGATTAGGGACAAGTGTTCAAGTTTCGTATTTGCTTGTATAAGTTTTTGTATCTTATGTAATTAAAAATGCATGTGAATTGAGCTTCTTTCTGGGCTAGGGCCTCATGTATTCGACCACGTTAAAATCTTAGTGTCTCTATTTTCTTTATGCATTTTTATCTATATGTTTGGTTGCTCTTCATGATTAGTTATAACTCGTAAACAAGAGTTTGGTCTTCCTTAAATAAACGAAATGTAGGTATATGAATAATAAGTCATGTGGTAAGTTAATCTGATTGCTTTTAATATAATTGTTCATGACACAAACAGACTGCACACATGTACTGTAGTACTCGGCAAATTGGTCCACACGGCTGACCACGATCCAAAATGAAGTCGTTTTGACGTAAACAAAATTTCGTTACTCAATAACGCTGTGATCTGCTCAGCCGTTTATGTGTTAGAATAATGAACCTTCTGGATAAGATATGTAATTTATGAGTTAGAATAATATACTTTATGCTTTAGAATAATGTACTTCATGTGTTAGAATAATAAACCTTATAGGGTAAGATAATGTATTTTATGAGTTAGAATAATGTATTTTGAGTCAGAATAATGTACTTTATGTGAATAATGAACCTTTTGGGGTAAGATAATGTGTTTTATGAGTTAGAATAATATAGGATATTGTAATTTATGTGTTATAAAAATGTATGTTGCAGCAGTGGAGTGAAAATATAGGTCGAGTGAGAAAAAAAAGTGTGCGGCCTAATGGCCCAGTCTCCTCCAATGAGGGGATGACATTGTTTTTGAAACGTGGTCCATACAGCTATGTGCACTGTAATGATCGGTACACTGAATTGATTTGAGACTAAAACTTATTAATTTGTCAATATGGAAGATTGTGTTTTTTTATTCCAATAATTTTATTGTTATATTAGACTGTAAAAGTTTCTGATCCTATAAATTTTTAATTTTTTTTTTAAAATAGCTCTACTTTTATAAATCTCTCTTAGGACTTTTCTTTTTGACTTGTGATAAGTATAAATTGGTTTATACCGACAATTTCGTAGTATGCATGCTGCCGACATATTCATAACTCTTTTTAATGTATAATAAACGTGTTGGTCCATGATGTTTCCTTAATGGTATATTAAACTAATCATAAAATTTATTGTGTTTCATAATTAGTGGGAAATTAATTAAATTGTTAAATTAATAGAAAAAATTACGATTGTTAAGATTTTATTTAAGAAAATAATTTTATATATAATAGGTTCTATGTATAATGTATGGTTAAAATTATCAACGAAATAGTATTATCTTGATAATGTTAATAGCCTAAGAGCTATACGTTACTTAGGGTTTTTTTTTTTTTTTGAGAAAATACGTTAGTTTTTGAGAATAATGTATAGAGAAATGGGATTAAATACGTTTAATGATAGCTCTTAGTACAAGAATGTAGTGTTAGAAATGGGGTCGTGGAGCTCTGATTATGTCGGGAATCATAGTAAGAAAATGTGTTCAAAAAAAATGTCCAAAGTTTTTTTTTTTTTTTTTTTTTTTTTTCAAGGTATTGAAGTTTGATTTATCACTGTGAACTTTTCTCGATTTCTTTATCAATTGTCCCCTCTAAAATTAGGGTTTACTTGTATTAGTGTCTATTATCATGGATCTCGGGACCCATCTTGTAAGATTGACATAGATACAATGTGCTATAGGTTAATTTTTAGGTATTACAAAGTTACAACCTTAGAGCATTTATTTAGACATAATTCCCACACTGTCATTGTTGGGATTTGAACCTTAGTCTCTTCTCCTAGATATTGCCTATTGAACCATTGAGCTAAACTCATGCGAGCATGAACATATAAATATCCTCTAACATAATTTGGTGTTGAAACCCTACAGTGTCGGGCACTTTTTTATCAATTGTTATGCCGTGGAACCGTGTCCACCTTACAAAGTGGACACAGTTCTATGTTCATAATTACTGAACCCTATGTTCATAAATTTTGAACTTCATATTTACAATTATTGAACTCTATATTCACAATCATAGAACTCTGCATTCATAATTATAAAACTCTATGTCCATAATTTTTGAACTTTATATTCATAATTTTTGAACTTTATATTCACAATTTTTAAACTTTATATTCACAATTACAGAATTCTATGTTCATAACTCTATGTTTATAATTATAGAACTTTATATTTATAATTTTTGAACTCTGTTCATAATTATAACAGTTTTAGAACTGTGTCCGCCTTTACGGTTCCGCAGCATAATTTGCCGCTTTTTTTTTTTTTTTTTTTTTTTTAAAACGTCCTGTTGGGCTCAACTTCCCTAAAAAAAGTCAAGTGAAATTGATTTATAGAAGGTACTAAAAGTTTTGGGTTTAAGCAGGTGGGCCTTAACAGTTAACACTCACGAAATTGTTCGAGGCAAATGCTTGTAGGGGGTCCCCCCAAATGTCACTCATGTCATTGGCCCACCTACAAATTATATTGTGGTCCATAGTCGGTATTAATATCCATTTTTAATTTACTAAATATTAATATATTTATTTAAAATTATCATTTAATACATTAAAATTAAAATTTTTAGTATATTAAAGATGAACATGTGCGTCAATGGTCTACCTTGCAATGTGAATCATGATCCAAGGTAAAATGATTGTATTGCACTCTGAAATCTCATATGATCACAACTCTGTTGTGTTTATGCATTTCTTCTAAATGTTATTTTCTATTTTCTATTTTCTATATATATAAACTACTAACTTTCATTATAATGATAAATATAACAAATATTACCAGCTAATAACATTGTGGTTTAGTGGCACAAACTGACCCTCTCAAACAGGAGGTCATACGTTACTGAGGATAATATTGACTCTTTGTGCTCCAATATATTATTATATTGTAACAGAGTCAGTAGTACTAAAAGTAATGAAATTTAGTAGAACATCAGTTATAGTTTAAAAGACGAGAAGCGGACACAACCAAAATTGTATTTTTAAAATTAAATTAAGCTACGGAATAACTAATTTTACGGACTAGTTTTAGTGTAGTGTACAAAATGAATCGAACTTAAATAAATGTCGGGGTTTCAAAGGTTTACAGATGAGATAGGGTTGTTACTAACTAACGAGAGGCAGTCGCCCAGCTCTCTCAGTACTCTGTAGATACTATACCAGTCTTCACTCTTCTACTCTTTTGTCACTGTCTTCCATTTTTCTGAAAATTCTTTTCCCTTTCCCTTTCAGTTCCGACCACAAATGACCTCCAAATTTTCCCTTTCTTTCCCCTTTTTCTTCTTCTTCTTCTTCTTCTTCCTCAGCCCAGTATCAGCGCAGAGGCTCAGCTCCATTGATTTGGCGGCTTTGCGTGATATCAAGAACTGCTTGACTGAAATTCCTGCCGCCGAGTTTTTCACCACCTGGGATTTTGCTTCGCCGGCTGTCGACCCTTGTGTCTCCTTCGCCGGAGTTACTTGCTCCGGGAGTCCGCGGAGAGTTGTTACTCTGATGCTTGGGTCCGGGCTGTCGGAGTCGCCGCGGCTGGCTGGAACTCTTTCTCCGTCGATTGGGAATCTCTCTGAGTTGACCCAGCTGGTTTTGTTCTCCGGCATTGTCACCGGCCCCATCCCGGAGCAACTCGGGTCGTTAACGAACCTCCGGGTTCTCAGCCTGACTAATAACCGCTTGACGGGGTCGATTCCGGCGGCGATTTTCGGTCTCCCGAATCTTCACACCCTCGATCTGAGCCGTAACGAGCTGACGGGGCCGGTGCCCGGAGTAACCCGGTTGACGGAGCTGAGGGTTATGATTCTGGCCGGGAACCAGCTTTCCGGCGAGTTCCCGGCGGAGCTGCCGGGGGGATTGCTCCATTTGGATTTGAGCGAGAACGAGTTGTCGGGGGAGCTGCCGTATCACTTGCCGCCGTCGCTCCGTTACCTGTCGGTTTCCGTGAACCAGATGTGGGGCCCACTCAACGGACTCGAATCCTCGTCGCTCTCAGAATTAGTGTACCTCGACCTCAGCATGAACCGTTTCGGTGGGCCCATCCCTCCTAACCTCTTCCGCACTTCTCTCGCGTCCGTGTTCCTCCAACGGAACAATTTCTCCGGTGGGGTCCACACCCAACCCCAGTCCCCCCTCCCCTACGCCGCCGGATCCGTACTGGACCTCAGCCACAACTCCCTCACCGGCGAAATCCCCGCCGCGCTGGCCGGGGCGGAGAGCGTCTTCCTCAACAACAACCGCTTCGTCGGGACCGTGCCGCCGGAGTACTTCCGGAGCGTCTACGGCGGCGTCACCAAGACCCTGTACTTGCAGCACAACTTCATCACCGGGTTCCCGGCGGTGGAGGAGCGGGGCAGCCCGATTCCGCTGCCGGATTCCGTCACGTTGTGCCTGTCGTACAACTGCGCGGTGCCGCAGTTGCCGGCGGGGTCCATGACGTGTCCGGCCAGCGCCGGCGAGCAGCTTTCCAGGCCTCCTTCCCAGTGCTCTCTCTTCAACAATGCCAGCCACGCCGGCTAAAAACACAACCCCGGTTCGTGCATGCATGGAAAGATTGAATCGGAGAGAAAAAGATCACTGCTTTTCTTCTTTTTCTTTTTTCTTTTTTTACTATACTGTCAATTTTATTTTATTTTATTTTTTTTGGTTTTAAATTTTCAGCTTTTTGGTCTGTAATTAGCAGTTATCATACAGAATTTAGAAACTGCAAGCTATATAGCCTATATGATTAGTATTACTGAAAACAATGTATTATTTTAGATTTTCTTGATATGCATAGTAACTGGCTTGGTGTGTTTGCTTTTTGTAAGGTTTTCCTTTAATGATATTTTCACTTTTAAGGAAAAAATTACACTTTTCGTTTTTAAATTATAGAATAATAGTAAAATTCGTCCTTTATTATTGATCGTGTGCATTTTTCATCTCTAAGATATAATTGATGTTGTAAATTTCGGTTTTTTTATTAACAAAACATTATGCACGAATTTTGAATGTTAATATAGTTTAGAGATGAAAAGTGAGCACAACCTGTTATTGAAATGATGAAATTTACAACGTTAATTATAGTTTAGAGACGAAAAGTGAGCACAACCAATAAATAAGACCGAATTTTACAATTTCATTATAACTTAGAGACGAATAATCTAATTTCTCATCATTTTAAAAAACAATTATTTGTTACATTTTTATTTGAAAATTTAAAATTGATCCTACATACTAATGATAGTCTAATCTAAAGACATATGTCAATGTCACTAGATTATAAAGTTTTGAATTGTGACGTTCATATAAGTGTGAATTCTTTCATTTCAAAATATATGTGTGCAGTCTTTTTCAGCCTCCAACAACATAACTTTCTAGTATTAAATAATAATCATAATAAACTCTATTTAATCTGATCAAGTTATCATAAACTAATCACCATTGAATTATATGCTTTTTAAAGATTATTATTTTACTCATAAAATTCAAAAATTAGATCTAGTTGAAAGGGAATCAAATTTAAAATTACAAATTATTAATATAAACTTTACACTAAATTTGTATGTAACATGCATGCATTATCCTGTAAAAATAGTATGGACTATGGAGCACTAATTAATTAATTTCCCTTTCTAAACCACAAGATTCCTTGTAGATCCTAGCTAGACAACTAGGTAGCTAGGTAGGATACACTTAGACCACTTTCCTCCTGCAATATTTAATTTCGGTTGTTGATATCTTTATATTATGGATCCCCATTAGTAGTCTCTTTTTAAAGATACATTTATGATTTTTACACTATCAAGTTTTTTTTATTTCACTTTTTAATGGAAAGGATGGAAGAACAAATTACATATATCTAAGTCATACTGTTGTTTTATGACTACGAGGTAGCTAGTCGGTGGCCAACACAACAATATTTAAAAAAGGGAAAATGGTCAAATAGGCCCTTCAACTTTAAATTAAAAGTTAATTAGGTCCTTAAACTTTTTAAATGTGCAATTACACCCATCAATAATTCATTTAGGTGCAATGAAGCCCAAAAACAAGTTAATGACCTGCTATCACATGTAATTAGGATTCATGCCACCTTCCGGTGAATTTTTCCGGCAAAAAAAAAAATGGCCAGCAACCGACCCAGATTTGCCGGAAATTTCGCCGGTCACTTTTTTGTCGGAAATTTCGCCGGTTACTTTTTTTTTTTTTTTTTTGCCGGAAAATTCGCCGGAATGTGGCCTGAACCCTAATGACCCGTGATAGCAGGTCATTAATTTGTTTTTGAGCTTCATTGCACTTAAATTAATTGTTGAAGGGTGTAATTGCACATTTAAAAAGTTTAGGGACCTAATTGACTTTTAAGCTAAAGTTCGAAGGCCTATTTGACCATTTTCCCTTTAAAGAATATAAGTATTTTATTGTCAAAAAGTAATAATTGAACCCCTTATAATGTGCCATTTAAAAGGTATTTATAAATAGGCGGTTGGCTCCGAGAAAGGAAAAGAAATTGTTTACAAATTTAGATTAGGAATCTCTCATTAACTCTTGCTAATCAGGTGCAGATTTCTCTCCTAAAATACAAGATCTCCTTTCTAAAACAGAAAAGGAAAGTCGGAGAGAATCTAATAATGAATCTTGGGCCGGGGTATCTTTCAAATATCTTTCGTGCTTGGCATTCCCGAAATATGTCCTTGATTGCCTAGTTGTACGTCTGACTTCCCCCGTTCGACTACCTGCATGGTCACACCGATTGGATTCGCCTACTATGAATCCATCACATAGCATGTAGAAAATTGAACATCAAGTCCCCACGAGCTTAGCTCAATGGTTCATAGACAATATTTGAGAGAAGAGACCAAAGTTCGAACCTCGGCGACAGTAGTAGTGTAGTGATTATGTCATTATGTCTAAAATGAACAGATTCGTTGTACACACCGCATTTGACTATGTCTTATTAAGTTACCGTGATTTACATCTTTCCAAATGTTCTCTCAGACTGGGGTGGTGGGGCCCTTGGGATTGAGTTTCAACCTTTAAGAAGAAAGAAAATTGAACATTAATTATGGTAATTATGCCTAAGATTGAAAGAGTGGAGCTTGAAAGGAATGGTGGGGGACTCATCATAAATTATGTTTGTGGGTAAAGTAGAAGGGAGCAGTGACAAAATTGGAGGCATCAAAAAGGGTGTATTGTTGCGTGCGAGTGAGCAGAAGCACACATGGGGTGTGGTCAGCGTAGGATGGACAAATTTGTTCTTTAAGCATGGCTTCAGAGTTCATCATCATCACAGTGTATGACCATTTAGCTGAGGTGTGGGACCTGCTCTGCTCTATTATCAGTCAAACTGACAGTCAAGGTGTTAACTGTGATCTCAGTAGACTAAAGTAATTCTGTCCCCTAACTCCTATGATCAAAACGGTAAAATAAGTAATTAATCCCTTACAGTACTTGCTACTGCTTTGCTCTGCTCACTCTCCACTCTCATCTCCACTATGAATATTATTTTTTTTTAATCAAAATTTTCTGATTTAGTCAGACTATGTATAACCTAGATCCTAATGAATCCATTCCAAAGCTCATGATGGTAAATTATTAGTTATCCAAATGATTTTAGGTTCCTCGCTACCCATCTATACATTTTTGTATTGTTTTTACTTTTTACTATCACTTACCGGTCAAAATCTCTCAATTACTTCGAACTCTATCATATCATGGAAAATAAGATTGAATGTTGATTGTTGACCACTCTAACTACACCAACGGGGCTTCACTATGTGTAGATTTTTTATTTTTTATTTTTGTAAATATGTGTATATTTTTTTTTTTATATTTTTGATAACTCAGGTTTCTCGGTTACATTCACCGAATTATGAATTTGCATTATGTGAAGGAGGTAAATTTCAGGTTGCCCAAATGATTTCAGTTTCTGTCACTATACACTTTTGTTTTACAAGAGGTTTTCACCACTATTGATTGGTCAAAGCTCACAATGAATCCTTAGGTTCCTAGTGACATTCGAATCTTACTTTGACGCTGAAAGCAAGACTAAATGTTGATTGGTTTACTACTTGAGTTATATGTATTGGTGGGGCTTTATTATGGGTAGTTGGTCTTTTGAGATTTAATTTGTTTTTAGCATATGACTGTTTTAATTTCATGGTTTTAATTCATCAATATGTTCAAGTAGATTTTAGTGGTTTAAAATTGTAAATAATAGTTTTGTCTATATATTAACTAACATGTACTACACATGCCGTGCAAATGAAACATAGTTTAAACCGTTCTCGATTGAGGATTGAGGAGGGAGCAAAAGTACTAGCACTCAGCTCTATAAGCTCTCATATTTCTTCTTGTTTTTTTTTTTTTTTTTTTTAATTTAATTTAATTTCAAGATGAATTGATTTCAGTTTTTATAACTCCAATATAGTACAGAATAATAATGTTATTTGAGTTCCCAATTAAGTCTGAAAATGATCAGTAAGAGTGGTTGGAGCTATTTTGTCCTTCTTACACAATCAGACAAAACACTGCGAGGGTACGAGGGTTGTGATTTGTGACTGCTTCTCCAACAAGTTGTTATTGGAATTCGTTAAATATATATATGCTTTTAAAGAAACAAATTAAAGTTTATCAATAAGAATGATAATTACACTCAATTCTAACTCGACAAAATAATTTTCATTCTTAACAGAGATAAGAACAAAAACTTTTTATTTCTCATTGGAACTTCCTTACACTGTCTCGATCTGATCTCGCTATTTATATATTATTTTCTATATATCATTTGTAAAGCCATGAAGCAACCTCTGTAAATCCAATTTAATTTGCTAGCTAATAACTGTGAAGTTTGTGTAGCTGAGAGATATGTTTTCCGACCAATAGTATGTACTTGTAACTAAGATGTTAGTACATGTGGATATATATATATATATAACACCATATTAATTAGTACTTGCATTGTGTAAAATATACTACATATATTAGCAGTTGATTTTCACGTGGAATAGAGATGGAAAAGAATTATTTCTCCTGGTAGAAACGAGAAATGGAGTACAGTGGCCCAGTTTAGGAGGCGGAGACAAAGAATATACCTCTACAACCGTTGTCTCATTGACTCATTGTCATTCCTACTCATCGAAGAAATTAGAATATGTCTAGTTCTAGCCTCGAATTATTGCGCTTTTCTACTTTTAGTTATCTATTTTAAAATCAATCGAATTTAATTGGTACTTGAGTTTTGAAAGCTCGCCACTTTTTGTTCACCACTATGACTAAAAATGATAAAATTTTAAATTATACTATCAAGTATAATCAATTTTGAAATTGATAGAGCGAAATATAATTAATTAATCCAATATATTTCATGAATGGAAAATGAATATATGATTGTTGTTTTGTTGCATTTACAATACTTGAGAAATCTTTTTTCTTTTAGTACAATAATGTTGCTCAATTATTAGGAAGTGCAATGTTTTGTAGTCAACTAGAGAATCTTCCCTAGTCACTTCTAATCAGTCCATCTTATAATTGAGTATTAAAATGAAATATTACATTAATTTGGTATTAAAATTATATTTAATTCATCCACATCCACATACTGTAAGCTAGGATGGTCTTTTCTTTTAAATAATATCATATCCGAACTGTAGGAACATGATGTTTATCCAATATTTAATTTAAAATATTGTACAATACCATATGTAAAAATATTATATTCTTAAAAAATAAAATGTGGCAAGCTAGATAGATTTACATTTTTTTTTTATAAAAAAAATGGTGCAAATAGTTATACATGCATACACTACCTTTTATTTTTGAATTATACTCTGATGGCACCTTTGTTACTATTCCAAATGG